GTGTTAAGTTTCTTAACTGTCCTTGCTCAGGTTGACCTGCAGTGACTGAGAGGCAGGGATCCTTTCTGTTATGTTCTGACCCTTAAGGTGGTAGCTGCAGCACAATGAAGCATAGCTGGGCAAAGTACATCCCAGCTCCTCTCTGTATCACTTGGCAGATGGATTCCGCTACCCTCTGCCAAACTCCCCATGGAGTAGGACAGGGATAGTCAGAACACAGCAGCAGACTAGTATTACTGAGCATGTGCTACTGTGATAGTATTGGCACCAAACAATTTTGGTAACACTTGGTATTGTATGCCTTTAGAATTCCAGTGTTATTACAGTACCAGTGTATTGCTTGCTACTGTTAGGGAATAATAATGGAAAATGTTATTGTATTAGCTATGTGTAACCCAAGAGGAAACAGAAACCCACTCTGCTTATAATCCATATTTCTATGCCATGTACAATATTTGAAATCACACTGACAAAGTAAGTTAACACTATACATCTTGATAAAACTCAGAAGGGACAAGAACACAGATTCTGTTAAGAAAGTAACATTTATGTTCTTACACTGCAAAATGGCCACAGACAAACTTACATAGCGATTTTGTATACCTGCAACAAAGATCTGCAAGCCTTTACACAAGTGTCAGGTCAATTGAAAAGTTAAACCTCTTTATCAGATTAAGCCGTAATACAGTATTTTCAGTCAAAAGGAGTGAAGTAGGCTGTGTACCCAGCCTACTGCGTTAAGATGACGACAGAGGATTTCTGTGAAAGATCAGTGTATCCCTGGATTGCTGCCTGAGACTTCCAGACTCCATTTCACCATGACTTGAGCGGTCTCATGCCTCCTTATCCTTTTGTTGTGCTTTCAAACTTAATTTCCCTTTCTTGTACACTTTGTAAAGGTTGATATATATGTATATACCATCCCAATCAAGCTCAGGATCTTTGATGCCTTCTCAACGTTGGACTTCTTGAATTAGAAGATACTCCAAACTTAAAAAAAAAAACAAACCACCACCACCAACAAAAAACTACTCAAAACAGCTGTTTTAGTTAGAAAAGTTCTTACTGCAGTCTACCTGCTTTCGTTGCTCAAGTAATTGTTATGGATGTTGCCTTGGGTTGTAAAGTTCAATACAAGGTCTCACACAACCATAGTTGAGGCATTTCTTAGAGCTACCTTGTTCATGCTGCTGACTGCACTCATGTTTCCACTGCAGCACGTATATTCAAAGTGGTGGGTTTGTTTTTTGGAATCATTTAGTGCTAAAGTATTGTACTATCAAGCAGAATTTTCTGGCAACAATGTAATACATATATATTTACACTCAGTAAGACTTTATTATGTAAAATGCCTACCCTTATGTAGAAGTACAAAAAGCTGCATTTATTGTGCCAAGACAGCTTTTTCATACACTTCAAATTTGTACTGGATGCCATTTTCTTCTTGGATATCAGCAGGGACACCTGGGTATCTGGAGAGAGAGAGAGAAAGGAAAAAAGCAAAAGCCAATAAGTAGATAAAAATATCATTATGAGTCACCAATAATTTATCCTATCAATCAGGAAAGAAAGTTGTTTGAAATAGGAGATGAAAATACTGTCCTTGCCACAGGAATACTGATTACGTGTCTATTTTTAAGTATTGTGATAACTACTATCAGCAGCCTGTATACACACCATTCGGAATCAAGAAAGTATACATCAATGTAAAAAAACAAAAAACAACCTAACAGTTTGGTTAAAGCCTCTACCATATTATTTAAAATGTCTGTAGAGGCAGAAGTAGATGCAAACGTTTTTGCTTTACTCGAATTGTGTAAAGGAAATGCTATTGGTAAAGGCCTCTTACAAGTTCTACGATAGCTTTTTAAAGTAGGCAATTGCTACCTTGCAAAGTGTTTGCCTCTATTCCAGCTTTACTAAAACAACTTTATTAACAGACACTTTAAAAATCTCTTCAGCTCCCTGTAACAGAATAAAAATTCTGTATAAGTAATGCTGATTTCGAGGGAGGGTCTATTTTCAAAGACAAACCTCTCTTTGGTTTCTATTTTAGTAGATAAAATGTTAATTTATAAAAAAGTAGATATTTTTTCAAGACCAAATTCCCGTTTCAGTTCATTGGCAAAAAAAAAACCAAGCAAAATATTCCTGAGAAACAACCAAGAGGGAGAGAGGACAGCTTTGGATCAGAGATCAGTATCTTGAAGTAGGCTTACGATATAAGACACAGTAGTTCAGAATATGTTAGAGTTGAAGGAGGTGACTCATCCTTCCCACTCATCTTGTTTGTCTCTCCAGCATCCTTCCTTTCCCACCCATACCTATTCTTCCCCCGCTTCAGTGCTAATCCATTTCTGTGTGATAGGGTTGCAGGCAGAGAGCCTGACTTGCCTTACTTTGTATTTCTTCCACTGCTGATCTGTAACTAGCAGGGAAGAAAAACGAGAGCAGCAAGAAGAGGAAGAGTTTCTTTCCTTGTGCCGGTTCCTGAGGCAGAAATTCTTTTGAATTTTTGCTACCACCCCACTGCCCCTTGAATGTAAGCTCTTTAGAGAGAACACAAATGAATGACTGGAGTATGATTAAAATATAAATATACAATATAAAAAGAAATCAGAATGAACAGCAGAAACTTACAGTTCAATACTGGTTCTTACAAAATTTTCTAGGAAGATGTAATTTGCTCAAGAGAAAGGAATAATCTTAAACTGTATAGGCTCAACTCTTCCTGTTCAAACCCATTTAATTTGTCTTTGACAATTCAACAAAGACATTGACAGAGGAAAAAAAAAAGCCTACTGACTAATAACATACTGACAATTATGAAGCTTAGTGAATATTTAAATAATTTTAAAGTGAGAAACCGTAACAAAATTGCTTTGCTAGCAAACTGACAAACAAACGTAATTCTCTTCTGTTGGATTCTAGGAAGGTTGAAGAACACAACCAGTTTCAAAAGCCTGTCCATTCTGGGTGTTCTAAGTTCCAGATTCTATATAAAAATGTGACTCTGAGTTAAAAATACAGTGAAGAGCACCTCCAACTCAAGACAGAATGTGGCCTTAATAGTATCCTTACACATTCAAGGTAAATTATGAAGTCTGCCATCTGAACACAAGACTCTTACGCATCTTGATACTTACTCTGAGAGAAGTTTGTAGTCATTGAAGTCAATTTCTGGAAAAAAAGTGTCGCTTTCAAATTCATGCAAAATTCTTGTCACAAAAAGTCGATGATTAATTGGCATCTCCATCGCTGCCTTTAAAAACAAAAGAAAGGATTAAAAGTCAAGTTGTTCCCTGTAAAGCAGCTCAACTGTGCATGAAGTATTATTCTTGTTACTGGCACTTTTAATATTGTTTTAAACTATTTGAAACCTGTAAGACAAAAATCAGTGTTAAATATGAGTTCTGTTTGAAATGCTAGCTTTCTTTACTGCTTCTCCAAATTCTTGTTCTGTCTGCACCAAACATCACCACTGCAGCATTCAAAAAGAACAAAGTCTCTTAGGATATTTTTTACTTATAGTTTACACACCATACGCATTTATGTTATCTAAAACTGAAGCTTAGTTATTCTTTTATATATATTGCAGGGTTTAAGCAAGGCAGTGTAAGTTGGACTTCCAATCTCCTCTTCTGGACTTTGCCCAAGAAGATTTCCTGGAAGGACAATTTCATCTTGTTCCAGTTCCATGTGTTCAAAGGCAGCAAGATCTGCTTTCAGATCTTGGGGCATCGGACAGAAGTTAAGAAAAATCTATCAGTTCTGTGAGAAGAAAGGAGCATTATGGCCTAGTTTCAACCAGCAACTTCTATATCATATCTCTCTGAAAGACAGTAAGCATCAAGCGGTGGAAGAGCCTCACACCCCAAAGTGAGTAGTTTGTTCCACGTTTAATTAATATAAGTGGTAAACAGTTAGACCATATCTCTAGTCTGTAGGAGTCTGCAATTCCAGTGATCAAGTTATCTGTCAATTTAATGTGAAAGTTTGATTTCTGAAATATGTCAAAGAGATAATATTCATTGCATGTCATATAACAACAATGAATATTTTCTAGATTCCTTGTATGAAAAGGGTTATGAAGATACTTTTTAGTGTAGTTCCTCACTAACAAATTCGCACAAAATCAGGAGTTAAAAAAGGAAATTTGGTCTCCAGATCAGATTGAAAAGTCACAACTTCCAGCCCTTCTTGACCTTAAAATAACCTGTTAAAAGCTATACTGGTGCCTGGATACAATGTGGTTGTTGAAACGCTTACAGCCTTTCTTTCCCTGACCTCGGTAATGAACAACGTTCGTTGTAAAAGGTGATTCACCATGCAGCATGCTATTAGGTACTACTTTAACAACTCTAGTAACATAGTAAATGTAAAATTAATCCAGTACAATTAATAGGTGGAACTTCTGGGAAGTTGGTTTCTAGAAAGTAGCTCTATTACTAGTGAACTTTTAAAATGAAAAAGGTAAGTCAGAGCACACTGACATCCATCAGCATTCAAGTGGTGTTCATCTAGTTCGTATATAAATACCAAGTTTTTTTTTTTGTTTTTTAAATAAAGGGGTGAGGTAAGAGAAGAAACATTCATCTGCAGAATAATGCAAGAATAACTTGCTTCACTAATAAAAACATGCTGTGTTCTGTAAACAGAGATACTTTTGTTCTGTAGTAGAGGGGTCAATCAAGCTCCTATCTAGCTTACTGGGAATTTTTCCAGTACTTCAGCAAGAATTCTGTACTATCAAGATAAGTCAATACTGTTGCCAATTTCCTCTCCAAGAGATGTCCTACTGTTTTACTGGAAAAAAAAAAATCTCGGGTACAGCCATGGCCTGTTACGGAATTCTAATTCACTTAACTGGTCACCTGAGGTTGTTCTCAGAGGTTTAAACTCTAGTTGTTGTCTTTGGACTTATGGAATGTGTTTTGGAGAAAGGTGTAGAGATAAAAGTTACATGGCTAAGGGTGCTTAACAAGTCTGAAACACATCATATAGAATTATGAATCAAGACTTTCACCACCTTTTTTGGTAATGGGAATATGTTCTGGGATGCACAGGGCTGATCTGATAGTATTTCAAAATACTTAGTCTGAGTTTAATGAAGGAATTATACATTATGTGTATTTTTTCTAATGAACAGAATAAGGCAAATACTACTTAGTTTTAACATGACATATAGAACATATCATGGTATAGAAGATGCAAGTAAATCTTGGATATTTAAATAGAATATGCCCTAACTAATACATATTTCTAATGACGACACAATACTGTGGTATGCTGGTATGATACTCAGATAAGCCATTTCCAGTAAGTAGGAAATGAGTTTAGTATTACCTGTTTTATTTTTGTTTTTGTTGTTAGCACTTTGTTTTCTTAGGACTCTGCTTGTACCTACGTTGGTTTCCCTGGAACAGGCATGATCTATCTGCTCTCCCCCACAGGCTTACCAGCTTATACAGCAGCTACTGAACCCTTTAACATATTACAGCCTGATATAGTAGGGAAAAGCATATCTGATTTTAGATATGCTTTAGAGCATAGTATATTAAAACTGTGGCTGTTGAGCTGTTCCTCAGCTGTTTCCTTCAGAAACAGCGCCACTCTTCAAACCCAGATGACATTCTACAAGCGAGGAAGGACAGGAGAACTGGGGCCTCAGGACCCTCCTGTTTTCCCAGGTTAGTCACCCTCTGTGTGAATCAGAGTCCCTTAATTACAGAGGGATCTTCACGTTCCTGTGAAAAGATATTAGCATACCCCGGTCTTTTTGCTGTCTTCTAAGCACCCCTCAACAGGCCTGTCTCTGAATCAGGAAGCAAAAAGGAGAGGACCTAGCAGTCACCTTCCCAATAATCTCCAACTATATTGGACTGAAACCACGTAAGATTAGATTTTTGTCTGCACCTATAGGATCATCACCTTGGGGTGGTTTCTCTTTGTAGAACGCAGGTTAAAACGCACCCTAAAGGTCTGCAGCAAACAGTGACTGCATATTACAAGCAGTTTCAGAAGTACTATATAGAAAATTAATATTTTATAGATTTATCATCAAATCACTGTAATCTGGCAACCAATTGCTATATATACACAATAGACAAAGCAGTCATTGAGGCATTTATTTCTCAAGTGTCTTTCTGCTACTAAACAACAGCATTGCCAATCCAAACAAAATATGAGAACACGATAAGAGAAAAAATATCAAGAGAAACATTCTTTTCATTTGCATTCTGTTTTCAAGCCTTAAAATATATTGGGATCACATATGCAAATTATATATAATTATTTTAATACTCTTGTGGTTTCAAAATACAAAAAAAACCCTCAGAGTTAAAAATCTCATGACGTTTTAGGTCAGTTGCAATGATAACCATGAAAATTAGCACCTTCAAAAAATCCTTCCTTCCCAAGCTGCTAAGGCTAAACTTTGCGAGGAAGGGAATACTGTGATAGTTCCCATCAACGGTTCTCTGCCAGAGACAAAGGCAGGTGCAGCAGCATCCTGCCACAGCAATTGCAAATTAACTGCACCTTTCATAATAAAAATCCTCCATCAGCTTTACTGAAAAGCCTGCCCATTTGCTCAAGCAGAAACAGTTACACTTCACTCACTAGACTTTTCCAAGTGTTGCTTTTAAAAAGAGGGCCTTGTAAACCTTTCCCTTTACCATGACCTCAGCAAGCTTCTTCGGAAAAGAATTTAAAAAGCAACAGCCTTTCATAGCTGCATGATTTGTGACTGCAACTCTGATTCATACATTAAACTTTTTTAGTAATTACTTTTTCCCAGAGGAACGTCAATCAATATGTTTGTTCATAAGAATAAGGACAGGCAGCTTGGTTAGGAGTAATAGGAGTATTATACCTTTCTTTCCCATGTTAAAAATCCTCTGACTTTATTTTGAAGAGTACTGGAAAGGCCAGCTGTCTTCTCAAATGGGTGAAAACATGAAGATACTAATTTAAAAGCTATCTCCAAGAATCTTAGTTAAAGACACCTGTACCTTAAAGAGAGCTCTTCAACTTTTAAAATAAATTATTACTTAAACCCACTAGTCCATTACTGGTTTTGTAGTTCTGCTTCATCTAATTGTATTTATGACTAGGCAAGAATAAGAAGCATTGGCCACCTAATTATGGATATATTTTTTCAATACATAAACCTTGGGGCGAGGAGGGTTGCAGTGCTGTTAACAGCAATGCTGTGACCCTGTCACTTTCATGTAAAAGAGATGTTAGAGAATTGCATTAAGATGGCTCTAATTCTTTCTCTAAACAGGATTCTTATGGTCCTAAAGGGCCACAGGAATAGAGGCCAAATTTTCTTCCCATTGCCATCTTCCTGTTCAGACAACTACACAAAGCCATGTGGGAAAATTCTTCCATAAAGAAGGATTCAATGGCATGAAAATAAAAAAGTATATGTATTACATTTCCATATATGCTGGGAAGACAGCAATCTTTCTTGGATATGCAAGTGCTTAGGACCGTCAACACTTGCGTAATAGAATATGCCTAACATGAGTTTGGTGGGACGGGGAAACAACATACCAACTGTGCCACGAAAACAATCGCCGTCTCCCTCAAATTTCTCTGCATTGTCACAGCCAGCTGCAGCCTAAGACGTTCTTTCCATAGGCCAGGAGAACTATACTAATCATCCAGTGTGATACCTCGCATAGCAAAGGATACAGAATTTAATTTCCACACAAAGCTGTAGTTTTGAAGATTTCTGATTAGTTAGATTTCTGATTAGCCCTCTATTTCTGATTAGTTTTGAGTCTTCACTTTACACAAGATAATGTTAATGGTTTTCAAAAATTTTAATAAGCTTTAGGCCTTGCTAATTAGTTGACTCCGAAACAGAACTAACAGAGAAACCAATGCAGTGCTATGCTTTTTGCATTGACTCCTCCCAGAGCAGAGTAATGCTTCTGGCCTGCAGTGATGCCCTCTATATCAATGGCTTTGCCCAGCTCAGAGGAGCTTGCTCTTTGCAATATGCTCTTTGTCAGCCATGTTCCAGGAGAACAGCACTGCCAACCCACAAGAATACAGCGAGTGAGCATGCAAAATATAAGCTCTTTGCGCAGCTCTCTCATAATTGGATCGCGATCCCTGGTCACATTTCTGACTGTAACTCTTTAAAAACAGCAGGCAACATATACATGTCCATCTCTATTCTAGTAGCTACACAGTTTAAAACCATTTTGTCTTACATGCAGGGAAAGGAGAGAAATTACTATCTCTTTT